ATTTTTTTAAAAAATTAAATCTAAAAAATTTATTCGAACTCGTAAAACTCAATTCATTTAAAAAAAAAATTGGTTTAGATTATTATAACTCACCTCTTGGCCATGGGATTGTTTATTTATTTTTCTAGGATAAAAACTCTAAAAGGGATAATAATGTCTTGAAGAGACTTCCTGTCATATCCTTCTCACATATTGGAAAACAAAGTACACATTATGACCCACTTTATGCTTTTCTTTTTTATGTCATACCCTTCTCACATATTGGGCACCAAAGTACACATATTATTACACCCTCTGAACATGTTTTTCACCTATTGTCTATAAAAATTTTATATTTAAAAGTAGATTTATTGGCTCTATTTTTTAACCAAAAAAAAGGTTTATTGAATCAGTTTTAAAAAAATATAGTAATTTGATAAATAAATTTAAAAATATCATAGGGATTATTGACTTTACTTTCAAAAGTTTGGTTAAAGATGCAATACAAATATTATTGGTGTCCCTCGAAATTGTCCCACAAAAGTTCTTTTTATCGAATTAATCTTCTTAAAAACTATGATAGAAAATAAAAAAAATAAATAAATATGAAGGCATTTTTGTAAACAGGTTGTGACAGCTTAGTCGCGTCATAATCTAATCAAATAAGTAGTGTCGTAAATGTTTGTTTCTGGCTAATACACGGTAAGAGCTAAAGCCAACATTATGATGCAGCATCTATGCCTTAGCTCATGGTTATGGTTGTTCTTGTTAAGGCAAGGTGAAGCATGGAAACTACTGCCCTGTTTTGGATGATTGCATTCCTAGTGCTGAATCAATGAAGAATTTTCCAATATGAGAGAGATTTGGAAAGATTCGATGCGAGAAATGTTGTGAAATTGCTTTAGACATGCCTCCTTTCGGTGCTTGTTTGGGGGTACAGGTATGACCACTATACCATACTCTCAAACCCCACAATTCATGTGGCTATACTCACCTCATTGATATATCAATTTTACAACAGGGTTCTTTTTTCTTGGATTATTAAAAGTAGTTTTGCCTTTATGGGATCAACAAGTACATGCTAATGATATATTATAACGGTAATTGAGTTTGTATAAGACTAATACTTGTCATTTTTATGTCGGATTTGAACCAACTCAATGGTTATTACTATGCCTAAAATGAAAGAATGAAAAAAAATTTACCCCATTTTCCTCCATATTTATTTGTTCAGATTTTAATAAATAAATAAATATTTATTGGCAAAACGGTGATTCTTTTTTCTTGGATTCTTAGAAGTAGTTTTGCCTTGTATAAGAATGATACTCGTTCTTTTTGTGTCAGATTTGGATCGATTCAATGGTTATTACTATGCCTTAAATGATAGAATAGAAAAAGATTAACCCGTTTTTCTCTAATATTTATTTGTTCAAATTTTAATAAACAGATAAACATTTATTGGTAAAACAATATCATTTTGCTAGAAAACGGTACCGTTTTGTTCAACCGCACCTCTGCAATTAATTTTACAACTGCAGAGGATCCTCTCCCCAACAAATCATACTATTTCTATCGTGATCGATAAATAGTTATATTTTGATAAAAAAAAATAATGTGGAGGAAATGATCCAGTGGCTCGATCCCGTTCCTATGGCCCTCATGGCCCAAGTCTGTTTTTCTTTGTATAGGGCTGCTGCAAGCAAAGGCCCAATGTTGGGCTTTTTTTTTGGGGGAGTGTTAATCAAGGAAGTTGGGCTTTAGTTACCTCTTAATTTTGGATGCGCCTGGCTTCAGCCGATATAAACCACAATAGCGGTGCACGATAGCAACATTAGGAATGACCCACCACTTTGGACAAATCCACCCACTTCTCACGCGCAGATATCTTCCGGCTACGGCATGGCACAAGACCGCAGAGGCGCAGAGTCAGGAGTCATGCGGTCCCACAGAAGCTCACGCAGAGAAAACGCAGGATCATCACGATCCAACGGCCAATAACATCCTGATCCAAAAAAAAGGCAGCAACATATCTTGTGCGCACGATAACCCGGTGTAACCCTGGCGCGCACTTTAGCTACTCCTTGCTACAAAATAGATATCGTCCTCCATGGATGCGCTTTGCTCCTCCTTCCTGAACCCCGCCTCCCCCCACCCCCGCCTTTTGGATCTTTCCATATTTTTTGTTTGAAATTTTCAATTCAAATTTCGCACACTTTCTCGGCTTATTTCTCTTTCTCATTTCGAAGGTACATAATTTTCTATCTCAATTTCCCTTTATTATTTTCTCGTCAATCCGTCGATTTGCTCTCGGAGAAAATCAAATTTGCTGCTCACCGTCGTCACAGATCCATGGTAATCATGAACATTTCGTTTTTAGCTTCAGGTTGGGGGTTAGCTATTATTGTTCAAGCCCTAAATTGAAGTTAATGGATGGATACTGCGCTTTAATTTGATCAAATGGTGATTGAACTTGAATGATCGTTCCGACCTGCTAGATAGACATTGTTTCATCTCAGAGATGGTCATGAAGCATCGTCAATATGTAGACTTTCACTGATTTGGAGATTGTAGCTGTATACAAGAGATCGGTTCTCAAGTAAGTTCGTTTTAATGTAATTGAATTATTACTAAATTGTTCCTTCAATTGAACGTTTTATCGTTTGCTCATGTCGCTGTTCATATCGCTATCTATGCAAGGCAAGTTTGAGTACAATGGCCTAATTTTTGTGCGAGTAATGCGCGAATTAGTGTGTTAAATTTGCTTAGCATTGTGTAGAACTCGAAGACAGAATGTAGTGTACTTGACGTTGTTATAGCATATATATAAGTATAACCATTTAAGTTTTGATGTATTTAGATTGTCATACACACATCTTTTATATTCTGAGGTGTATTAATGGTTATGAGACAAACGATGTGGTTATTTTAGGAGCGTAAATGGTTTATGTGCTTTTAAAGATGGGAATGTAACCATTACATATTGATACTTAAAGGAACCTCGAAGGAGGAATGGTTCGTCCTTGTCCATCATAATTTCCAAAAATGCCCTAGTCATTTTTCTATTTTGTTTCAGTCAGATGTCTTAAGATTTTCTTTATGGAGTTTTTGTGGTGTTATTTTCTGAAATTGCTCGTTATTGCTTATAATACATGTCATTCCATGTCTTTGATAATTGTCACTATCATTTTTGCTCCTCTAATGCACTGAAATTTGTTACTTTTCATAATCAATCGAAATGTAAAATATGAACTGAATTTTGAGTGCATCAATGGTTTATATGCTTTTAATGATGGGAACACACGAGCAAATAAAAACATTGCATAGCGTTACTTAGAAGGTACCTCAATGGAGGCACGGTTCACCAATGGGACTTTGGTCCAATGGTACTCCTTATCTTGTAAAGGCTTTGTCTTGTTGAGATCAAAGATTCAAGTCCCCCTTTCCCCTCCCCTCCCAAAAAAAAAAAAAAATTGGAGGCACGGTTCATCCTCAACCATCATATATTCAAACGTCTTAAAATTTTTTAGGGTGTGCTTACGTTTTTTGTTTCTAAACTTACTCATTATTGCTTATAATGTACGTCCCTTCCAAGTCTTTGACAACTGTCACTATAGTTTTGCTCTTTTAGTGCACTGCAAATTTGTTTACTTGTCACACTTTTATCGAATGCAAAAAAACTAACTGAAAAGTGCATGTCGTTCACTGCATAAAAGAAGATTATGACTTTACCAGTTCTAGCCACTAGTTAATCTTTAAGATTATTTTCTGATATTGTATAAGATGGTTGCTATTTCCCGTTCAGTTGCTGAGGAAATCAACAGTGAGGAAGTAAAAGCAAACTGATGTAGACAGCCCTTTTCTGTAGCTACCTAATGAAGTCATGCATGGAAGTTTTACTTGCAATAATATAATAATAATTATTGCATCCAGATTTAATAGAGCTATATTTTTATTAGGGCACACCAAGTAATATGGTGAGTTCATTTGCCATTGTTGAACATTTATAGTTCTCTCAATCAGCTCATGCGTTTTCTCCTTCTTCATATGGACTCTTGACATATGAATAGATTCAAGAAAATAGGTGGTGCCGCACCTTTGTTACAGTTTTTGACTGCTTTTACTGGGCTATTAATTCTTACTGTGATTGAACTTTTAATCTGCAGTTGCTGCATCTGAAGTTTCATTTACCTGTGGTAAAGAATGCCTGAGTTAACAGGTGCAGTGAAAGAAACTTCTGAAACTGGTACAGATTTCTCTCCAGATGACAGTGGCACTATTGAGGAAATGCCTGAGGACACGATTTTGTCACGCCAGACTTCGGTGAATCTTGTCCCGTTCATTGGCCAGAGATTTGTCTCACAGGACGCTGCCTACGAATTTTATTGTAGCTTTGCAAAGCAATGTGGCTTCTCTATCAGACGTCATCGTACCCGAGGAAAAGATGGTGTTGGTAGGGGAATTACAAGAAGGGATTTCACATGCCACCGAGGTGGCTATCCGCAGCTAAAACCATCAGAGGATGGAAAGCTACAAAGGAATCGAAAATCATCTCGTTGTGGATGTCAAGCTTATATGCGGATTGTTAAAAAAGCAGATTTTGATGTTCCAGAGTGGCGTATCACAGGTTTTAGCAACATCCACAATCATGAACTCTTGAAGTCAAATGAGGTACATCTGCTACCTGCTTACTGCACGATGTCTGCAGATGACAAAAGTCGAATTTGCATGTTTGCAAAAGCTGGGATGTCAGTACGACAAATGCTAAGGTTAATGGAGCTTGAGAAGGGTGTTAAGCTAGGTTGTTTACCATTCACAGAAATTGAAGTGAGAAACTTGCTTCAATCTTTCCGAAATGTGGACCGCGATAGTGATGCTATTGAGCTTCTTGAAATGTGCAAGGAAAAGAAGGACAAAGATCCCAACTTCAAATACAACTATAAGATAGATGCTAATAACAGGTTGGAGCATATTGCCTGGTCATATGCTTCATCCATTAGGTCATATGAGGCGTTTGGGGATGCCATAGTCTTTGATACTACTCACCGCTTGGATGCTTATGACATGCTTCTAGGAATTTGGATTGGAGTGGACAATCATGGATTAAATTGTTTTTTCGGTTGTGTGCTTCTTCAGGATGAAAATATGCATTCTTTCTCTTGGGCATTAAAGGTGAGAGGCGTATGAGCATTCACTATGGGTCTCAAAATCTTCTCTTACTCTGAATTTTCACATTGTGTACATGCCTCTTAGAAATTATTTTAGACCTTTTACCCTACTGAGAGCCTCACCTCTTTTCTGGGGATATCTTATGTTGCACCTTGGCATGCCTTGTGTAAGAAACAAAGAAAATCTCAAACGGCTTGCCTAGCTAAATCCTAATGAAGTTTGTGAGTAGGAAGGAGTAGGTCATATCCTGTCCTAAGATGTATTTTGTTCATGAATCATGAACTAACAGAGTTAAATTCATTTGGTGTGATTGGGTACTTTTCCATTTGCTTTTGTTAACTATTCGATAGTTATGTTTGGTTTGCAGACGATTGTCTAAATCTACTACTTGGTCATTTTTAACATTCAGGATTTGAAAACTACAAGATTGATTGCATCAGACACTTATATTTGTGGGTTTGTGTTATATATGTGTGTGCTGTAATTTTTTCTTTCCAGATCTTTATCTGAACAACTTGATGAATATAATTCGAAGCACAAAACCCTCAATCCCACTCCCCGCTCGATAAATATATACCAATGGCATGATATCTCTGAGTTCCTGTTTCACCATTTATCTGTTTTTAAAACCTATCGAGGTCGTGATCCGAGTCGGTTCATAGGATGGCATGCAACGGTTCCATCGTATGCTTAGTCCCTTTGTAACACTCTTTTTGCAACCAATTGTTTTTTATTTATTTGTTTGTTTTATATTTTATGGCAGACATTCTTGGGCTTCATGAACGGAAAGGCTCCAGGAACAATTTCAACAGACCAAAACATGTGGCTCAAGGAAGCAATAGCTATTGAAATGCCAAGGACCAAACATGCTTTTTGCATTTGGCAAATCATTTCAAAGTTTTCTGATTGGTTTTCTTTACTACTTGGGTCCCAATATGATAGATGGAAAGCTGAATTTCATCGGCTTTATAACTTGTATATGGCAGAGGAATTTGAAGTGGGATGGAAAGACATGGTTGATACATATGGACTACATGGAAATAAGCATATCGTCAGCTTGTATGCCTTGCGTACATTTTGGGCACTACCTTTTTTGAGATCTTACTTCTTTGCAGGAATGACGAGTACATTTCAATCAGAGTCAATAAATGCTTATATCCAATGCTTTTTGAGTGCACAATCTGTACTTGATAATTTTGTTGAGGAGGTATGAAAGTCTTGCTTGCTCATTATTTCTTGATGTATTTTGTTTGTTTTACATTGTTACAAGTGCCTGTTTTCAGGTGGTTGCAGTTGTAGATGCTAAAGTCCAACCCAGAACAAACCAAAAGATGCAACGGAAGGTCCAGAAAGTCTCTCTCAAAACAGGCTCACCAATTGAGGCGCATGCTGCTAACGTTCTTACACCATATGCCTTCTGCAAACTACAGGAGGAACTTGTGTTGGCACCACAATATGCATCACTGATGGTAGATGAAAGCTACTTTATTGTGAGACACCATACAGAAATGGATGGAGGTTGCAAAGTACTATGGGCTCCTCATGATGAGTTCATTAGCTGTAGCTGCCACCACTTTGAGTTTTCAGGCATCCTCTGTAGACATGTCCTTCGTGTTCTATCAACAAACAATTGTTTTCACATTCCTGACCAGTATCTACCCATCCGTTGGCGTGATATCACTTCATCTTTGACAAAGCTGGTCCAATCTTCTACTTCACAGGATCAGTCAGGGAAAGTCCAGTTATTGCAATCCATGGTTTCTACACTGATTACCGAATCAATTGAGACAGAGGAACGCCTTGACGTTGCTTGTGATCAAATTGCTTTGGCTTTGACTCGTGTCAAGGAATTTCCTGGGCCATCATTGCACGGTGGTAATGATATTGCGTATGATAGTCCGTCTGACTCATTGATTCTTCCAGAAGTTGAAGACTCTGATAGCATTGTGCAAAGTTTCACTAGGAATTCTCATGAGACTCTAGCTTTAGGAAAGCTGAAAGAGAGAAGATCAAGAGATGGGGAAGATATGTACAGGAAGAGAAGGCGTTGCTCTGTGCCTTGCTGTGGGCAGTTTGGACATGATGCTAATGATTGCCCCATGATGGGAGGTGACGTTTTGAATGGGGATGGGCTAGGTTTTTATAGGTAACTCAACTGCTGGGTGAGGCTAGATGTATGAAGCTCGTTGTCCATGTCCATGCACCCATGTAAGAAAACTGCCATCGTCACTAATGCAATCCCCCCCCCCCTCTCCGCTCCTCTTTTTTTTTTTTTATCATTTAGCTCATTTTCTGAATGGACGTCACAAACAAACTCAGAACACATCTGCGATATCTTATAGTTTGTCTCCATCCATTCATGACAGCAGAACAGTTATGATTGCCTGGACTTAAGGGGAAATACTTACCTGTAGAACCTGTGGTCATCTTGTAGATCATGACTGGCTGATGAAACCACATCTGTACTGGAAACAAAAAAATGAGTTTTTCATTAATGTCTTTTGCAAGTAGGTGTGAGTGCTTGATGCGTGTTATGTTGGATAGAATTTGTTGTACATATTGCAGTCTTGTGACTTATTGTTGGTAGGTTTAAGCAACCGTTTGATTGTTTCCAGTAAGAAATGGTGGAAAGAAGTAAATAGGTTTAGTGTGATCCGATGTTATTTTGATAAAGCTACTTAATGCAATATATGCATCCTAGAGAAGAAGCATTCAGATTGAATTTAAAAAACAGGTGTCCTATCAGAGTAAGAAAATAATTTGTATTTATCTACCTTAGTTTGTGGAATAGGTTTGTTTGTTCTGATTAATGGACTAAGGCCACTCATTTGTATTTAGATTCTATGTTTGGATTTGTTATGGCTGTTCTTGGCATCTCTATTGGCTGCTAAAATGAGAGGCAAAATGATAGTTGAATGCTGGTACCTTCAGCTAAGTTGGAAGTGGAGCTATGAAGCCATCAAATTCACTGGAATTGTAATTGTTCTTTAACCTGAGGTGTGTAGTTGTCACTTGATTACCATGTTTCTGCCAACCCTTTCTTTGGTGCATAACTCTTTCACCGTTGTGTATTTGCCTTTTATATCATGGTATGATTGCATATACCTTAGAATTTAACTGCCACATTCATTTGGCAGTGCGTCTCCTTTTATGAAGCATCATAGTTTTAAACAGCCCCAGTGATAATGATGTAACATCGTGATACTACACTGACAATGTTGTTTAACCTTTTGAGATGGTTGTTAGGAAGATATTCAAGTTCCAGGGAATGCAGAATTAGCAGGTATGGATCATATTAAGGTACTTCGCAGTCTTCTTAGGCCTCATTTTATAGCATGTCAAGTAGTGATTGTGGTTGTGTGCAGGAAATGACTGATGACTTTGTAATTTGCATCAAACAGCTGGACTGGTTGCTTGTATATTGTCATGACATTCAAACTTTCGTATACTGCAAATATCTATTCCTACGCATTTTCTTCTCTAGTTATGACTTCTCCATGAGAATGTGTATTGCTTTCACTTGTTTGCTTGCCATGATTTCTCCATCAGGATGCATTTCTGTTTATCTGGATGGACACAAAGATGTTATGATTCTCTGCCGAATGTAAAGAAGCTAATCAAAGACATCGTAAACTATTTAATGTTTCTAATGATGAGGCTTTGTGTGATTGAGATAGTATATATGGGCACGTATTGATCATACACACCTGTATTATAGGGTTTAGGGTGGATATTCAGTCATTTTGCTTCTTGGTGGCCTGCTGATCTTTCATTGGTTTGATAGCGCTTAGGGCTTCAAAAATCTAAATCTTCATCTGAAAACAACCATCCTCTCCATATATCCCTCAACCTTCATTCCTTTGCTTTTCTTCCAAGATCTTTCGCAATCTGTCTTTCTAGCTTCTGACCTACTCCACTCTATAGATCTGGAAGGCAATGTTCTTTCCCGGTTGTATATCAGTGTTCTATTTCCCGGCGTCTTTAATAGACTGTGTGGCAAATCCTGGCTTCAACATAGCTCACGGGTGGTTTGTGGATGGCAATGTAAAAACTTGAAATGACAAGATAATGGGGACTTGGGAACAAACCAGCAGACAGAATATTTATTTACAGCCAGAAACCTTGTAGTTCGAAGGTTTTATCATAGTCTCTAAGCTACAATCAGTTTTTGTGTTTGCGTGGCTGGCACATAGAAATTCTTGGGTTTTAGCATTGATTCTACTTAAAACTTCCTATTCCTGCTCTTCCTGGATCAATCGTATCATTGTGCAGATTATTTTTCAATTGTTTCTTGGGTCCAAAATCTACACTGTATCCTTTCTGTTCAGGTCAATGAGATATTTTGCCCTCGCAATTCCAAGACATTACTAATGTTTGTTGCACAACTTTCACTGCATTTTTATCCATTGCCCTTCTGTTTATTGTACCTGCATTTGTCAGCCTGGTCATTGAAAGGTCATAGGAATGCCAAGCATTTTACGTGTTCGAACCTTCAATGAAAGAGTACTTGTACCTGAAACCGACACAGGTGGGTAGGTAGAGAATACCTAAGACACAAGACAACTCTCTCAAAGAAACTCAATAAAATAGCCTGTAACTTCAGGAGAAGGGGTTCCTCCTCACAAAGAGGATCGTAGTGACCTGGCCCGGGTGACTATCGACTAAAAACACAGGTGATGCCCCTAACGGTTCGATTGAAAACCATTTTTCTTTCGCTTAATCTATTTTTATTAATTTGGATGGTGGATAGAGTTCATTTTTTTCATTTGCAGAAAACAGTTGGCTCCTTCTTTATACAAACCTCTTTGTCACAGGAGCCAATGCATGTATATAGTGTTGGAAGCTTCAGTATGTGTGAGAAAATTATTGTTCGCAAATGTGTTCATGCTCGACTAGGCAGACACGTCAAAAGCATGTATGTATGGCTCTCCTATCATTTTCAGACAGGTCTAGCATTCACTTTAATTATGCAAAATAAGTTTGCTGGTTCCATTTTCTCTCTCTTCCCTGATTTAGCACTTTGAAATGGCATATATTCTTGTCTTGATGGTGAAGGTTTCATAGTTCTAAGATCTGATCTAATGATGCTCAGTAATAGAATTACAGATCCATGGCAATTTATGTGATTGTTAGGAAGATGACATAATCTTGGCGCATTTTTGACATCCTACACTTTGACAAACACAACATACTTCGTTTAATTTTCTGTTTCATCAGCCAATGAAACTCTGCTTAGCCTACTCTTAAGCATTCTGACATCATTGGTTTTAACCTTTCTGCTCCCACGACCACGGCTTGAACCATAAACTGCTCTTCGTGCAATCGCTTTCCCCAAGTAGTATTCAGCTCTTTCTTTGCTGGTGGGCAATCTTTCAGCAGAATTGTCTTGGTTGCTGCCATTGTAGGTGCCTGAACCCTCAGCGACCGACTTTTCGGTAGCCATTTTTACTCACATGTAAGTGTTGGTAGTTGTTTAAAGGGAGCGAGAATGCTAAGATGGGTAGAAGACTTGTAAATGACTGGATTTATATGGCTTGCATAAAGTAAGTTTTATGGGCTAAAAAACCATTTGGAGGTTACGTCAGCCAATTGCGATGGGATTAAAAGATAGGATTGAGGAGTTTTGAAGCAAAGTTTCCTGTGGCCGAAAGGGCACTCCTTTGCTAAAACTGTTTACGAATCAGAAGATATACATAATCTTTGTTGACAAGATATTGATTATACTAAAGCAAGTAGTTCGAGTTTATGAAGGCCCTTACAATCCCTTATCATTATTGTTTTACTGATTAGTGGATTTTTACTGTTTTGTCATTAGTACTTTTGAAGGAGTAGTTCATTTTTGAGTAAAATATTTGTTTCAAAATCCTTAGTGTAGGTCAAAAGGTACGAGTAACTAGTGGTAATATGGACGAGTTGTATATTCAGATATCTTAAGTTTAAAATTTGACAATCCTTGAGACCAAGTTATAAAGGATTTATTCTCGTGAATATCCTTGTTCCAGTGTGGATAACCCACTTTTGACCGAATTGGAGAGAGGATTAATCGAGGTGAGTATAAATTTAACCTAAACATCCCTGATTGTTGAACAAAAATATATATATATATTTGTTGCTAAGATGGCATCACGTCATTATTAATATATGATATTACTAAATGAGTAATGGTATTAGACTTTAAAAATCAATTTAATAATGTGACAGTGATGTGATTCGCCAATAATTTTTAGACTTATTTATTGGAACTCCAAATTAGTTTAATTTTTAAAATCCTAATAGCATTAGCCTTGCTAAATAATGGCAAACGACCACATATGACAAGTGAGTCCCACTGAACTCAGTAACCACTAATATAACTAGTAACTACCGCTTTAGATTAGTCAGTAAGATTATATAATTGTTTATCCTTATTGATCATGTATTAACGATGACGTGTGACCAATATATGTCATTCTGGTGTCTTACCTGAGAAAGGGCGCGTCGACAATTATGAGATGGAATCAAGTTGAAATAGCACATTGGCTTTAGAAGTTATTTTACGTGATCTCAAACGAGCTTCCCTGAGTTTTAGGAGAAATGAAGTCCAATTATCTTTATTTCTATGTAATCCGCGATATGCTCATTAACTAATAAAGCCAAGCTAATGCAAAAATTGTACTTGGTTAATATAAGCTTGAGAATGTGTTTAACCTTTTTAGTGATTTACCTCATGAGTTGAACCCAAGCGGATTTGTGACTCGCTATCATCCAACATTCACACGAGCATATTTAATGGCATAGAGAATTCAAATGATCTTACTAGTCAGTGTGAACTGAGTTTCACTTTTGAATGAAAACTAGTGTACCTTTTCCACTTTGAACCACCACTATACGACCATAGAAGCACTTTTTCCTATTCAAGAGAATCGATTCCTTATCTCTACTCTCAACACAACCAATCTATTCTTTACATGCCCGCAAAACATACACACGCATGCACGCAGAGTTCAAAGAGAAAGAGACTTCAAACAGAAAAACAAATAAAGCCAACCGGGAAAGGAGAACATCAAAGAGGAATCGCACTATACTTTGCCGCTGCTTATACCAAAAGTCAGGGTATTGCCATATTTTCATTACCTACTTATCTTTGTACGATATGCCACTAGAATTAAATTCCAAATAGTACAGCAATACAAAATGAATCAAATTCAAAGAACACGGAGAGAAAACCATTACCCGCCTGAGCCTTGCATCTTCATTGCTGCTGTACAGACTGCAGGACAAACCAGGGAAGAAGAGTAAGTTTATAGTTAATGACTATAGGTCTGAGTAAATTTTTGATGAAGTCATTACACATATCCAGTTACTGTGATAATATCAAGTAATCCAACTAAAATCTGACCATTTCCCAAGATTTCTCAGATTGTTGATCTTTCACTACTTGAACAAAAAACTGCAGTAAGGCTCTGGGAAGAAAGAACACTATGCTGATGTCTAGAGATGTCTCATTATTCACATGGTGAGCACAAGGGTACATGTCAGCAACCTTATAGCCGCATATAGATTCGTTTCATGTGGAGGAATCCAGAAACAAGACCCCAAAATAAAATCTCAAGCAATACAAAAGCCAAGGTACCCCACTTCTTTGATTGAAGGATGGCCTGCAATAGTGATTCAGTGCCGTCAACCTGCAAGCCATGTTTTGTTAAAAGTTAGGCCATCAACACATTATATGCCTAATTAACTACAAAGGCATGCCAAATGAAACAAAAAAAACTAAAAGCATCTATATTATTGGCTCCATATTCTAAACTGAGCAAAAATGGCAAGTCATCCTTAGACAGAGAAGGGAAATATCGTCCAATCCAAAAAAGTCTAGTTTAATCGTTCATCTCCTTACTAAAACAAAAGGTACAGTCTAATCCAAATAAAAGTTCAATAATTAAATGTTCTCATTTTAAGAGGATGTCTATATTAAGCTTACAGCTTAACAATCTTTAGTTTTTCCTTGCCAAATGAATATTAGTTTCTTTTTCAGCATTTCCAAAAACGTGTCAATATTTTTGGCTTGCCTCGAGGAAATCCATGGTGGCAATTCTTGCTATCAATTTATAAAGTAAGTCAATTCAAAATACTTTTAGGGATTTAGATTTCACCATCAATTTACTCCTATTACTCCATTCTATTTCTTGTCCTTAGCAATAACATTGATTTTGAGGGCATTTGGAATTTAAAGACTAGTGATGTTGAGAAGTAATCAATAGAGATAACAGTGAAAAGCTATAACATTAAAAACCAGAAGCCCAGGAAACAGGAAACTACCAGGTTGTTTTCAGGTGAACGCCAATAGAAACCTTGCAAGGCAGCTGGAAAGAGGTCACAAGCAGCCAAAGCATAAATAACGAGAGCATTCATCCCCATCCACTGAAGCACCATTGTGGGCTTTCTAATATGCTTGACATCAACCTTCAGCAAACATAAGCAAATATCAGCATACAAATCTTCCTCCGTTGTCTCCTTGTCAATGATTTGGTAGTCTCTCACTCATCTCACATAGTACTCTTAAATATAACCTAGCACTCAGCCAAAAAACAGAAATAAATAGGAAAAAGACAGCCATCCCAGATTTCTGACATATCCATCCTTACGTCCAATTTTGAGCACCCTTATCATTGCTGGCAGAGACATGCTCCATCATTGCCTAGATGTTCGAAACACGCACTAACAAGTGAAAGGATCCAATGTTACCAAACACATATAATGAATTCAAGCAAAAGAGATGGGGTCCTACAAATCCTTTGCTTCTCATTATCCATAATTACACTTTTCCAGGGTCACACAACCTTCTAGTATAGAATCCCACCTCTTGATTAGCTCATTTTTTGAAACAAATGAGAATAAATCTTCAAGGGGATGCAAGAGTCAAGGTTTGCAACCATATTATTTCTAAAGCTCAAACTTTTGAGTTAGTTCAACTAGAAAACTGTGCTCCTGCTCTCGCATACCTCAGCGTACAAAAGAACTCAATGCAACAAACTACCTTCAATCCTGCAGTCGCCTATTTGGAGAGAGTGTGTGGCAAAAGGATGACCGCCTGATAACTCTGTGCCTTAACTAAACAACAGATGTGCATAGAATTCTCATATTATCCTTACAACTTATAGGAGAAATTTAAAACACCAATGTGATAGTATAAACATGGTGCTCTCTCTACCAAGAGAAAAATTTAAGGAGTAGAAGTCCAATAATTTCAAGGCAGAAGGCACTAAAATCCTGAAACTCTAAAAAACATTGGACCTACATATATGAAGAATTTATTAAGTTGTTAAGGTAATTATAAAGAAAGTCACAAGAAAACTTCTTCCAAAAATAGAAGGGAAGCTTCAACATATTATCTGAAAGAAAAGATTTATAAAAAAAAGGGAAGTAAAAAAAGAAAAAAGGAGGGGGATAGACGAAGGTCAATAAAGTTTGACAACATGATGATGGGATTGGCTTGAAATCACACCTTTTTGATCTTGTCTTGAATTTTCCCAATTTACTAACTCCTATAAAAAGAAAATACTGCACTGCCAAAAAAAAAGTAGCTTACAATGTAAAAAATGATGGTCAATAGAAGGCCTGATGCTCCTGCTGTGATGCACATATAGCTCAACGTGTACAATGGTTTAGACAAAGGGACACCTAAAATGGTCAAGCATAGGTCGCAACAATTGTAAGAGAAGTCTACTGGAACTCCTTAAAATACCATAATTGAAAACAAATATCAAAATTTCATTTCATTGCATTATTTTGGTCACCTTGAAAACAGAAACGTTTTAGAAATATTTCGAAAACATAAAAGAAACAAATAAAAATTCGAGAATTTATTTTCAAAACATTTTGAAATATTTGGTCAAAATATATTAAAATATCTTGAAACATCGACAATTTGAAACATTAGTGGAAATATGCCGAAACTTCTCAAACTTTTTGAAATATTTTGAAGTATTGAAATTTCGATTCAATCACTAATTTATTTTGGTTTCCTTGGAAACAGAAACTTTACGACCATTTCGAAACAAAAATTTGATCCTTGATTGCAAACCAAATGCTTACATAAAATAATATACCTAGGACATCCAAAACATATCCCAAGAGTAATAGGGGCAAGGAAGATAAAGACCACAATATCACCCTCTGCATGTGGTCCTGCAGCAAGGAATTAGAGATGAGATAGAGAAATTTTTAGCGAAGTTACAATCAATTACAAAATCATGCATCACGATATTGCATACCGACATATTTCCAGCATATTCGAAAGTGTATTGTATAAACTTGAGGAACAATTTAAGTAATGAACCAGAAATGTTCTGAATCAATAAAAAGGCAGGTACGGACCTTATAATGCACAATAATATGTCCAAAATGCAATCCCATAAAACAAGTGATTGCAGCCATCAGTGAACTGGAAAAAAATTGTCCAAAATAATGAATCAATATCTGAACAGTTACCCTAAAACTGATAGTCACTAAGATTTAAAGGTATAACCTATGACCGTGTTTAGTGCAAAAAAGCAGTGAAGAAATTCTCGAAGAGCTGACTTAACAAGATATCAATTCACCAGAATGTTATCAAGCTCAATAAGAAAAGGCCATGAATTTTTGTTCTCCAAGGAGAACATCTATCCAATGTGCCACTTTTTGCCGAAGTACAGAATAATACCCAAAGACAAAATGGTCAGCAGCAGCAAGCACCACACGAAGGTTACATTTGCGCCTTGCTCCACAATGCCAGTAATATGCAGTAGCAAAGAAACCACTTTCTTTTAGTAGCTAGGTTGAGTTGGTTCCCATGGAAAATATATAAATATTACAAAGAGGAAAAAAAATCCATTTTTCAAGGTAAAATCATTTCCAAGAGGGGTATGGACAACTCTAGAACTTACTTTTCCTATTTTATGCTTATCTAATTTGGAGAAACAATGAATACAATGTACTTTTGGAACCATGATTTGTGTTATTTAAAAAAAAGAAAAATAGAAATAACAGGACTATATATGTAACCTTAAGATGCCCTCTGGGTCAAATGGAGCTAAGCACCACCCAGGTGAATTTGGGGGTAGAGGTCCATAATCAGGAGAATTAACACTGCATTCCTGGAAACATGAAAATATTAGATGCACAAAACAGCAAGGAACTCAAGATCCTAATGCAGGAGAGACAGGTGTAAGCACAGAAGGCCAAGGGAAATCACCTTTGTTCTTCTGTACACAGGATGTTGGTAAAGATGTTGTTCACCAAGAAAAAACCGATCAATCAACCCAACTGCATTGCAAGGAGGTTCAAGATTACCCCTCACTCCACAGTGCACCTAGTAATTATGTGTCATGACATGAGGATTAGCTCTGTAACAAAACGGTAGAAAACATAATACAAACTGGCAGTTTAAGCTGAAAAGATTCAGGAGTAACATTCCACAGAGAGTAAATTATCTTCTAGCACAGGTTACAATAATTCAAGGAGTCCAATATCTGGGCGTCTGAATACCAGGTTCAGAGTTATGCCCCTAATGGTTTTCAATCAAAACATGCACACATACATGTAGACCACATCAGTGAACTCTGAACCTGGTATTCAGACTTTCAGCTTACTGGACCCCTACACCTGCATGACTTCACGAAGCCTATGATCTCCACTCACTCGTTCAATTGAAAAAAGCTTTCTATCAAACACAATAATCATTATCAAACATGCTAATAAAGGCAAGTCTGAAGAAGGTTGGGATGCATTAATAAATGCAACCACAGTATAAGACGTTGGTCATAACACTCCACTCAACTCAAAGAAACAAACCTATTTCATAAAGCAGTGCCACAATCCATGGATGAGTTTAAGTAACCAAGAGCTATATAAAAGTAGAAAAAAGAGTGAGGAAGAGCCTCAGAGAAGCAATTCACTAATATACCAAAGCTAAAGAGCTTTGAAGTATCTTTCTAGGTAAAAAGGAGCATGTAGTAAAATGTAATGTACAATGCTGAATAAATATATTCAGCTCATATAAGAGGTGTGTCGCTAAAGACAACAAGAAACTTCAAACTAAATAGCATTGAGATTTCAACAGATAGAATCTATATCTTCCCTCTTACCCTGAGATTGTAATATTGCAACAGGGAGTCAACTTCCACACAGACACCCACCCTGATTTTCTAAACAATTAGCGTCTAATATGCTGTTGACCTCCAACCACAAGAGACTTGCATAGGAATTTTTCGGACAATAGACAACTAATTCCCAATTCCCCCATAGTCCATGTTGTTGCTCACAATGACCCACAGCTTGGAAGCTGCTCCATTCTCAAAACATCCAATTCATGAATTTGTAAAGACCCAAGACCTAACATTGGCAAGCAACTTAAGTTACAGCAGCATGGATGATCATTATCACATAGTTTGCTAAAAAAATCCTACAGTTGATACTTGTATGTTAAATTGGCTGTGCCCTTAAGTTTAATGCCAATCAAACACAATCTTGTCGGTATATGTTTTAGAAAACCTATATAGTCTAACTCACAATTTGAGTACCAGATCCATATCCAGATGCAAATGAGGTCAAGTTCATGCTCGTAACTTCAATCGCCCAGTCTGGAACATAAAGCCCATAAAGCAAGCACATATACAAAGAACCTAATAAGATAGCAACCACCCTGTATAGCAAGGAATGCACATGAGAATACAATAAGCAAAGAAACTTAAAAAAATATTGTTATGAATCTCATCATTCCATTTCACAAACAGTTGGAAACGAAAAGTAAATAGTCTTCACACCTGCAAAAGTTTCAGTATACGATGTCTCATCGACTAGACCAACTTTAGGAGTAAATATTTAATGTAACGGTAACACTATATCAATGCTAGAACTTGAAGTCACCAGCCAATAGGGAACAACCAAATAAAAAGAGTTAACCCCACTTCTTTACATGGGTAGTTATTATATTACATGGATAAAGTGAACACAACTTGTTGTTTTCTTATTGAATGGTGCACCTTGTGGCGTCACCGTTACGTCTAATATTTTCCCCACCTTTAGATTGTCACATATCTCCCTCAAATTTGGTACCTAAGTTCGGGCAATTGTCTGGCACATGATTTATCAAATGATGAAAAGGAGTTCAACATAATTGTGTACAGCTAACGGCTTAAGAACATGTATCAATTGATGAATACTTTCCAATTTGTAAGATATGTCATCTGCCCGTCTGCTTCGATTTCTAAAATTGAATATACAACTCACAAAAAAAAAAATCGTTTGGATTTGAGGCTCATGGCCTCAAAGAAAATTAAAATCACAATATGTCCATCTGGTTTGAGTTCTGAAGTAATTTTTCATAGAAACTACTAAGCTTCTTCAACGCATTTTAGAAGGTTTACTAAACTCCAAATAAACCAAAGTTCTAGGCTGTAAAGTCAATTCCTGCTAAATGTAGCTCCAACAGGGATAGGAATTGGAAAATAGAGTATATACAATATTGTTGAAGCTTCCAATGAACAGGTTTCTTAATGTTAGTACACTTGGGGGCTAGGGTTGCATTGCTTGCCACTTTGATTGGCCCTCTCAGAGAGTATGTAATCATAAATGATAGGCCTTTTAGGGAGTATGAAATCACAAATGGTAAATCATACCACTGAATGACATATTTCTGTACAAATGTCACTGCCGAGTCAACTGCAACCTTATTAACAAGCCAGATCTCCAAAATCGAAACAAACAGATATCCAATAGAAATCCTCTGTAATTTATAAAAACACAGGTGAGAATGTAGTAGCAAGCAAGATAAAATAATGAAAACTCAATATCCAAATTCAATACTAGATGAGTCGCATAAGTACTATTCTTTTTCATTTCAAATTTGTCAACCATAGAACAAGAAGAATTCCTTAAGTTTATATTATAGAATAAAAGAACTATCCCCTGCCACTGGGGAAACCACCCCATTTACATTGATATCTCTCTTGCCATATTCACTGGATTATATACTATCAAATTCTGGCTTATCCATTTCTGTTTTATAAGTGAATGATACACAAACACATCAAACTGTGGGAGATGGGAGCAAGAAATAAAAACACAGGTAGCATGGTTCATATTTCGCTGATTAGTTGCCTTACGCAATCAAATTATATCTTGGGAATAGTTAACAATAGAACCAATTGAATGATAGGGTAATCTGAGGGTAAGATTCCTCTCACAAGGATATTTAATTAATATCTACTAGCATACTTGAACAGGTTTCTGGACAGCTGAGGCTAAAACACAGTACTATTACCCAAGTTCAACAAGAAGTGAACAAATGTTGAAGCATGCACTAATATTCTCTGGCCAATAACTAATCAGTCTAATCCCATCACTGAAAATATTGCATGAAAACCTAAAAGGACATATCACTTTGTTCTAAGTTGATAGCATAAAGTTCAGCCACTATAATGGTTAATCAGTTTGTAAAATTGTGATTGGGGAGTGCAAAGAAAAGGAATTCATCACTGAAACATCAAAATAATTGTACAAGCTCATGTGATGTTTTTTTGTTCACTTTGCAAGTGAACCAGTTCATGAAAAAATTTAACCATGTTCTCATCAAAAAAGAACAGATAAAAGTATTTTATCATGTCACTAATGCAGACAGTTGATGAAAGGTAGGAAGCCTGCAGTTTAGTTCATCTCCAGACCAGCTCCAGCCCTTGTAGCATGTCAGCTAAATACGTCATAAATGATAAATCTCTTACACTTTCATGTTCATCAATTTAGTTCCAACTTATCCAAATTAAAAAGGAGTCCAGTACAATCTTTTTGAACTCATTTCCCACTTCTACAATGTATCTACAATAAGTAGGTGAATGGAAACATTTCTTCAGATTTGGGGAAAGAAGATGCAAGAAATAAACATCAGGCATGCAAGTCTACACAATAAAGGTATGCAGCATGCTGCAAGGTTGGACAGCAGCCATAAAAAACAGAAGTTACTAAACAAACATACAGTAATGCTATCAGTTAGCAAACATCAAGTCAAACAAGAGCACCAACATTGTGACAAGACATGTGAGTATCAGCAACCGCATGACAATCACAACAAGAGCTTGATTCAGGTTATTGACCTAATGGCTGCGGTACCTGGAGCACACCCATCCACCGTATCTGTCTGACATCAACCCCATAGCTTAAATGGTTGCGCCCATGGAAATACCCGCCTACAAATACATTTGAGGAACACTACTACATGATCATATCAGCCAACAAAGTTTTGAAATTCACTACTGGGTGTTCGATGTATATGAATGATGCGAATTGAAAAAGGAATAAAATGAGTATATCCTGTTTGCACTGCTCTTGAAATATAATTCAAGTCTTTCCTTTTTTCTAAAACTTAACTAATCATACATTGATCAAAGATGAATCAGTAGGCAGAGCATTAGAACTTCTTTTCCGCGAAACTTAATAGGGAGTTATTTCAAAATAGTGGCAAATTGGTAAGTCTATCTAGTCACCCTTAAGTACATTCCATGAGAAGTGTCTTGAGCTCATAAAGAGGTCCCATTTAAAGCCTTCTTATTAGGTGGTGAACAACATACCGTTCAGAACCAACCCCAAGAGGAAGAGCTTAACTGTTCTGACCATAACCTTTCTTATTGCTGCTGGTTTGCTGGATACTTTCTGCAACAGGAAACAAACTGTGACTCGTGACAACAGCTAAGTAAAAAGATACGAATTACCATATAGATTGATGCCATCTCTTGCTATGTTTTGATCTTTTAGTTTAAATTCTAGTCATTCAATGCTACTTAAAAAAATATGCTTGCAAAAGCAATAGCATGCAATTGCGCCTAGTGACTACCTTCTAATAATTGAGGTTATGTTGAGTAATACAACAGTACATACTTTGATAATCAGACTCACGGAAACACCAATAAATTGATACCTTGAATACCAAACTCACAGAAACACCAACACCAAAGAGGAAAAAAGGCATTACGAAGTCCGCAAGGGTCACGCCAAACCATGGAGAGTGGTTTATTGATGGAAAAGCCCCTCCGGCATCATCAACCAATATCATCAGCTGTCGAATAAACCAAACAAGGTCAGAGTAGTGTAAGGAAAAGACAAAAAAGAAAAGAAGAAGTTATCTATTGAAGACATTAATTCAAGACTCTACTACTTTGCCAAGGAACCTAAAGAAAAGAAAGGGAAAGATCGCTAAAAATTTTTCACAAAGTCCGCGACCGCGATGGTCACATGTCATGCCAAACCATAGAGAGTGGTTTGTTGAAGCAAAAGACCCCTCCGACATCATCAACCGATATCATCAGCTGTCAAAAACACTAAACACAACAACAGTAATGTTAACGAAAAGACCAAAAAATAGCAGAGACAGATCAAAGAGAAGAACAAGCGCTCGAATGATGAACTTCGATGTAAGTTGGAATTAGAGGCAAGATTGAAGACTCTGCTAGATTAACAAGAAACCTACAGACAAGTAAGGATTTCCAAAAAGTATTTGTTCTCTTTGGACTGTAAAAAAAGAGAGATAAAATGCAAAAAGAGAATGAGAGCTTGAAATGCAAAACTAGTGAATCAAATTCTCAAAATTAAGAATCCAGTTAGAAGGAAATCAATTTCGGAGGTTGCGTACAGCGACAGTGAGGCCTCGAAAGACATCTAAAGATACAAGGCGTTGCTTGGGATCGGTAGGATTAGCTTTTGATTCATCCAACTCGTTCGGTGACGGTAAAGGAACAATCTCTTCTTCTCTAACGCCCGAGTCGCTGTGTGGAACTGGAGGTGATAAATCTTGTAGAAGAGGCGTTCGTACGCCTGTGTCTGTAACCACGACCAACGAAGACATTTTCCTTCTCCTCTTTCTCTCTCCTCTCGGTGATCTCGTCTCCGGTTTGAAGAGCAGCTACTACTGCGTTGATCTCGTCGATGGTATCCCCTCGGGTTGACTACCACCGCTTTATAAAGGGGAAGGAGGCTTTTCCGTAATAAAAGACGTTGAGTTGGGTATTTTAGTCATTTCGATTAGTTAGAAACTTGTTCCCCGCGGTTAATTATAGCAACGTCAGACTGACTTAAAATTTAGACTCGGTGGCATGGTTGTTAATGTGTCAAAGTCATGTCATTAGTTTAAAAAAAAAAAAAAATTATTTTTAAAGAAAGTTGAGATGACTTGGCCGATCATCTCCCCTCGTCTTCTCCCATCTCTTTCACGGTTTCACCAAATCAAACACCGCCCGCTAGCTGTAGGATATCTTTTTCTGCTCCTCCCTACGCCAAAACTTCCCCACCAGAAACCAGCCTAATTAAGTTTTCACAAGGAACTAAGATAGGAAAGTCACAAAAGAACATCAAAGACCTCACCCAAGAGCCTTATTGCTGCAGCTAGGGTTCCACCCTCACCCAAGAACCACAACAATCAGTTTGGCTTCGGATGTGGTGAAACAATCGGCTATTCAATTTCTTTTTAAACAAAAAGGTCTTCAGCATAGGGGTGAATCAATCGATTGTTGTCATCAACCAGTTCGGCTTCAGACGTGGCTATGGAAAAAACCCGATTTATTGGGTTCAATTTTTTTTTAAACAGAAAGAGGGTAGGGGAGGAGTTGATAAAGAAATCTTATGGCTGGGCAACGGTGTTTGGTTTAGTAAAAGGGAAGGGAGAGAAGAGAAAAGAGAGAAGAAGGAAGATGAACGGCCAAGTCATCTTATCTTTCTTTAAAAATAGAATTTTTGAAACTGATGACATGGGCTGGTACACATCAACAGTCACATCATCAAGTCTATATTTTAAGTTTAAATTTTAAATCTGTATAGCATTACTCTACCTTTTGTCCCCAAAGTATGTCCTTTTTTCCTCGTAAATTCTTACTCCTTTTATAGAGTTGGGTATTTTTACAACAATGTTATGTTATGCTTAACAAAAGATTTTTTGTTTAGATTTTCACTTTAAGTGACGTCGTACAATTTTTATCATTAAATAAGTGAGTTTTATTAATATTTAATAATAAAAATTATAACACATTCATTGAAATACAAAATTTCATAAAAAAATTGATAAATATAACATTATTATTATATTTTTTTTGTTCAATTACGAATCTAATAATTGGTGTTGATGATTGTACTCAGTTCAATTGAATGATTCGAATGTGTAAGGCGTGAATGATTTACATTTGATAGAATCGTAAAAAATAATTAATTAAAATGTGTACAAATTAGTCTGAATACACTGACCAGTGAAAAAAAATTGAATGTTTGATACCTAATAATCTACATTATATATTGAATGGGTCGCCCTGATCTACTCATGACGGTGAGTAAGAGGCATTAATTGGAAAAAAAAAAATATGGTTAATTGCAATTTGCATTATGCAAATCATTCAAATTTTAATTTGTAATCATAAAGATAAAAAATTCTCAATTTGTACCCTCAAAGATAAAAATTTATGTCAATTTGTACCCATAAAGATCAAAAATCTCAATTTACATATTCAAAGATAGAAATTTGTATCAATATGCACTCCTAAAGTTAAAAAAATCTCAATTTGCACCCTCAAAAATAAAAATTTGTATCAATGTGCACCTAAAATTAAATTGATAAATTATACCTAGATTCTCTTATGCTTGTCATTTAATCATTTGGACCCCTTCACATTTAGAATATTACTCATACATTTCATGACGTTTGCGCACGTGTAACATATAACCCTTTTTCGTTAATATCTATTGATATAACCGTTAAAAAATATAATTTTATTCTAATAAAAAATTATAATTTCATATTACACTTTATTTTATGGGTCCAAAATATTCTAAAGTTCAAAATCAAGTTTACCATTTGAATGTCTAATAGAATAAAGGGTTGCACATTGAGTGATATATTGCATTAGATATAAAAATATTATATAAATATCTACATTCTATTGGACATTAAAATGGTAAGATTGATTTTGAACTTTAGAGTATATTGAACCCACAAAATAAAAGATAATATAAAATTATAATTTTTATTAAGATAAAATCATATTTTTTAACGGTTATATGAATAGATATTAACGAAAAGGAGTTATGTGTTACACGTGCATAAACATCATGAGATGTAGGAGTAATATTCAAAATGTGAAGGGGTCCAAATGATTAAGTGACAAACATGAGGGGATCTAGGTATAATTTATCAATTTAGTTTTAGGTGCACATTAATACAAATTTCTATCTTTGAGGGTGCAAATTGAGATTTTTTATCTTTGGAGATCTAAATTGAGATTCGAACTATCTTTCAGGGTACAACTTGCAATTAAACCTAAAAATTAATTCTTTTATAATTTTGTCCTTAAAATTAAGAATTAAAATTTATTTCGAAACAATTGAAAATGACGAAACATTTTCATTTTAAGGAGATCGAAACAAATTAATGATGAAATCGAAATTCTAATACTTCAAAGTTTTTCATGATGATTCGAGATGTTTTGTAATGTTTTGACACATTTATACAATTGTTCAAGAATGTTTTAAGATGTTTTGGTATATTTCGACTAATATTTAAAAAATATATATTTTATTTTTTTTATACATTTAATTTTATATTTTAAATATATCAAAATATTTCTATTTTCTAAATAATCGTAACAAATTTTTGATGATTACTTAAAAGATACACTTTGTTACTTGTGATTTTTTTGTACTTCCTGAACTTTTTAGCTACCGTCACTTTTATCTATCAACTTTGGACACCATCTCAAGTTAATGTCCCCATACCAAATAAAACTAAATCAAACAAAGCCAAGTACTGTCACTACAAAAATCAAGCAAAACCTAGTAATGGCAATAAGGCAAAACCCAATAATGCCAACTTAGATATACCCATTATATCTTCGGCTATCATTGTTATTATCACCACCACTACATTATATGAACACTCTGCACCTTCACGCATGCAATCAAATCAAAATCCCTGTTAACATTAATTCTCAAAATAAAAATTAAAAACCCACACTTGAGAAATTAATGACTTATTGCCACTGGTAGAAATACGAGTTTAGGTAAAAATATGAATTTTAAAGACTTTAGGTAGAAATATGAATTTTTATATAATAATACTTCTTACTTAAATTTGAGTAAAAAATTGGGGGTATGATTGAAAATTATATTAGAGCCGTTGGCATCTCATCATTCACAGGGCATCAACAAAGGCGGTTAGGGCTGTTAAACAAGTCAAGCATGAAAATTTTTTAAAGCTCGTTTATGTGTAAATTCAACTTGATTAACACACCTAAAGACGGTAGAGGAGATGGAATGGAAGCATATTCCTTGCGAAATAGGCAATCACCGCCCAGCTAATAAGCACATACGTTGACCGGGCGCGACTTCTCTGTTGTTGAAAACTAACAGCACACGGTGCTGTTTAATGCAAAGACACCGTCTTTTGCTTAGACCCAACAACTCATTCCTCTCATTCTCTTGCACAGTGTCGTTTGAGATTTCATTTTTTGATCAGCCAAATCCCAAAAAAATATGTTATGTTGTTTTCTCCAAAAGGCCAGTTGTTCCCCTATTATTGTATATATTATATTGTACTTGTTACATAAAAATTTATTGAACACTAATGAATTATTTTACAATGATATATATTTTTCTATATCTAATCGAATAATGAATCATTTATTGATATTTATTCCAATTTGAGTTATAAATCACCTATGGATATCGATTCCGCTATCATATTTGCTTTTAACTTATTTAACAACAACGTGTAAGTTATGAAAAAATAAAAATAATAAGTCATACATATATAACGACGATAAGTGGTAAAAAAAATATAATTTTAGTAATTTAAAATAATTTCACTTTTAAATTAAGAGTGTAAAATAAAAAAAAATCATAAATATCTAATCAACGTTAATTGAACAAAGTCCATAAACTATAAAATTGATCAAAACCAATCATAACTCATACTCTCATAAAATACAATCAAAATAAAAATAATAGGCAAACACCACAAGATATATTTAAATAATATTCATATTATGTATCTTCATTTATATAAAAAAAATTAGGGTGAACTCGTGCTCACCTAAGCCCGTTACCAAATCTGCTCGTGCATGTTATTTTTGGTAAAGGGTTAAGGAAGGCATGAGTTNGGAACTCGTGCTCACCTGAGCCCGTTACCAAATCTGCTCGTGCATGTTATTTTTGGTAAAGGGTTAAGGAAGACATGAGTTTACTAATTCTCTGTTTTACTCATGTTAAAAGTAGACATGACTTGAAGACGGAATTTCTCCATAACTGCTGTTTTAAGCTGCTCAGAGTTTAAATGAAATTTTTCTTTTTTAATTAGTTATTTAAGAACTTTAACATGATTTAAATTAGTTCCAGTATTTATATTGGTAGTATGAACAATTGCTGTAGAGGTTGAAACTTTATCAGTTGAAGATTTATCTTCTTCTTTATCCATGTCTTTAAGACATTCCGCTATGATTTTGCATTTAGACTCAAGCGGGTAATTTTTTCAAAAACGGACTTGATATTCCCTAATTTGTCTAGGATCATTAACATCATAAGGATATATCCTTTTAATAAAATTATTGAAAAATGAAAAATTAAGCTCCATATATGGAGACAAAGTCAACGATCTACGTATAGAAAGAGATTTATCTCAAAACAACTTTTCTTTATTGTCAACTTTATCTGACAAGGATGTAACAACTTTAAGTTGTTTTGACGGATTAACATCAATATCATATTTATGTGATAATTTCTTTATAGAGAGTGAAGGATAATAAGTATTTTTATATGCATTGAAATAAAATGCATCCTTATATAAATTAAAATAATATACACTTTTATATGCATAAAAAATATTTTTATATTCGTCAGAGTAATATGTATTTATATATGCAAAAACTTGAGTTCTAACTGTT